AGTTTTTTGTTTTTCAACCATCATAAATTGTTCATGTTTGTGCCAACTATCAGCTTGTTTAGCTCCTCCACCATTATCCATACTATCTTGCACAAACCCTGCCAGCAATGAGTTGCTAGCTCTTATAAGTACCATTTACTAGACCACATCTTATTACAGCAGTGAAATTTGGTACAGTATTGGTATTTCAAAAGAACATCCACGAAAAAATGTAACTAAAAAGAAAACAAATAACAAACAATTAAGAAAATAGCAACAATTAATACTGATCCCAGAAATCACGACCCGCGTTATCAATCAGTCGTCATTTCTATTGTGACCTAATAATAATCTCCCTCTACGCATTTATCATTACTACTATTAAAAAATGATAATGTACATTATTGTACACTAGACACAAAGGATTCAAAGCTCGACAACAATAACACGACAAAGATATCACGGAACTCGTGAGCCAACAATAACGTTCTCAGTACTGCGTACTTACACAACTATACATATAGTACTTAAGTGATTTTCTTAGTGATTCAGGAAATCGGTGAGATTCGACTTGACATAATCTTAAAAAAGTAGTCTGGACAATATAATGCCCTTTTAAGGAAATGTCCTCTAGTCAGTCATCATTTGAAGCGGCTGTACCACATCACGAAACTCACCACCCATACAACGAATTATTTTAAGTCGTACACCACTTCGAATTACAAATTAATCACAGTGAAAACGGATTCATTATCATTAGCTATACAGACACCAGAAACCACATAATTACAATTAATTTACAAGACACTTATTCTATCGGCTATTATATCGCATGCACGAAAGTAGACTGACGCTAATAACAACTCGGCGAAACTGAGCCCGAATAAACCGACTTATCGAACGTACCGACAGACCAGGCGTGGCGTTTTGTTGTTATTTTTAATTAAATCCGTGCGTACATGTGTACTTACCATAGGCTACACATATGTATGTATAATTTATATTTATATGTGTTATTATTTATTATTTTTTAACTCCATCGTCTTATCGCGTTTAGGGTAACTCGTCGGTGGGAAAATTATGTCTAGCAGCCACAGTAGCGGGTAGGGCTGCACGCTATGTAACAGTATATCCTATTGGCTAACGCTTTTAGTGACGTCGTCTATTATATGAATATTATCCAATGGAAACGTTTGATACTCTTGTCGCTACTAAAGTCTGCGGGGTCATCTCGACGCGTCATTGAACCGTGGTCTGTGTTCCCGACGGATGGACTATAAAATAAAACGCCATCTATCGTTTTCGGCTAGACTAGATATCTAAATAAGCAAGTATACGCATCACGAAATAAGATAAAACCACCCATTATGGCTGTAAAAAGTGATAATAATTGTATTATTTATTAAATTATTTATATTGAGAACGTTTTATGACAGCTTTAATGAGAATTTAATTTATATAGTCAACTACAAGAGTTAAAAAACGTTATTAGTGTAATTTTGTTATTAGAATCGGATTTATAAATTTTGTTAAGTTATTCTAAACAATTAATCAGCCAAAATTAATTTGTATGAATAGACTTGAAAACTTAGTACATTACTAAGTTTTACATTAATTTAACAGGGGTATAAATTTAGGAAAAATACATTTATATGATCATTTTAATATACATAAGTGATCTTAAACTTAATATTTATAAACTCATTTATTTTTTGGAATTTTCATTTCCCTAAAATGAATTACATTGTTTAAATTATTAAAGTAATACATATATTATCACTGTAAAATCTTTATAATAAGTAATTTTAAAAGTGGAATTTTTATACCTTTGATAAATTTTTTACCATGTGTTAAATTTTCATTGCCAGAATCAGATTCAAATTTATTTAGACGTTTTGATAGCAAAGCGAATAGAAATGATTGAGGTGTACCACTTATATCATTAGTCACTCTAAATATTAGAATTAATTTTCAAACAAAAATTAATTGAGACAAATATCTGTTTCTATAGTTCCAATACTTGCATTATAAAACTTGATATGACTAAGTCTTTTGAATTTATATTTTAATGCAATAAAAAAACAAAGTGTAATGAGCTAACTAACCAACATTACTTGCTAATCTAGTTAGTCTTTGAAATCCTGTTGATTGAATAAATGATTTAAGTTTTCCTTTTTTGAACTATAAATAATAAAATAGTTTAAAATTAATAAACAAGTTAAGTAAATTAAATATTAATTTACCTCATGCTATAGAATAATCAAACACTATTGAATGAAATATATTTATTTATTATTGTTTATCTAGAATGTTATCTTCTATATATTTTGGTAACTTGAAGTTATTGGTTTATGATCTTCATATAATACAGAATGTTCAGTAAGTAAGGAAACAGTTTAATTATTACAATGAGAACAAAAGCAACCCATTTTCTTACTTACTGAACACCCTATATACACACTAAATGGCAACACAAAGTAGGATGACACAGCTGGCCACAGAATGTATTTAGCCTGATTCTCTGTCTTCTTCTTCCTCACCTTTAACCTAATTACTTAGGGTCAGCCACTTGTATCATAAACCGCCACTTAACACAATCTCTTACATCATCTATTCATATACCAGCAGTCTTAATATATATAATTTTATCCACTACTATAGAGAATAGATAAGAGTTTAAAACAGAGCTTTGTTACACACCTACTTTTCCTCTGTTTCTCCTCACACACTTTACTTAATGCAAGTACCCACATACATATTATTTATTACATTAATATACATGTCCTCTATTACATCATACGTTTTTGAAACTCCTTTTCTCATTTATGCTCACTTTAAAACCTCTCTCGGCACTCTGTCATATACCTTCTCCAAAACTATGAATAGCATACAAAGTTATTTATTTTTCTCCCTTTACTTTTGAATTAGCTATCTCACAGAAAAAAGAACCCATCATTTACTTACCAGGCAAAACATTAAACTGATTTTTAGATACCAATATCTCAAATTATTCTCTTACATACTATTGTTTCCCAATTCTTCATACTATGACTCATAAGCTTTATGTCTCTATAAGTACCACATTCCTATATATCTTTAAATACAGTAACACAAAACTTTTTCTCTACTCTTGGGGCATCTTCCCTTATATTAATACTTATATTATAATAATAAGATCTTTTAATCATCTCATGCTTAGATCCTCTAACATTTTATACACTTTTAGTGGCACTTCATCAGTACCTATTGCTTTTATTTTTTTCATCAATATCAAAGTCTCTCGTACTTCTTCCTCACTAATTAAATCTATATTTTCTAAAGCATCTCTTGGATTCTCCTCATTCATTAATTTTTCATAATACTCTTTCTATCTATATATACTCAGGCTATATAAATGGATTGAAAGAATATAGTTGGAAAACAAGAAAATTCTATCAATTTTGGCACATAATTACAAGTTAAAATTTCAAGCAACATATTTTTCCTAGAGAAAATACTATATTATTTATACATAAATATTATTACCACTATACATAATAATACCACTACATTTTTTCTGAGGTTACTTTCAGAACTAAGTATATATTTATCTTAAAGTTAGTAATTCATTATTTACTTAAATACATTTTTTAGAAATTAGTTCAATCAAACATTTCTTTAACTCAAAAGATAGTCCAATAAGCATTTTTATTGTTCATTATTATTTTTTCGACATTCAAGTAGATGATCGAACTTAATATAGGGTTTCAGGAATTAAACTATTTCGTATTAATAAGTTAAAACATCAAGTTTTAATCAAAAACCAAAATATTATTAGAATTAACCAATACTGACAGCACATAAATCATCATTAGACAACATAAATGATGATGAAAATTCAACATTTTTAATGTAATATTACTAATGTAGTAATAATATACTATATAAANTCATCATTAGACAACATAAATGATGATGAAAATTCAACATTTTTAATGTAATATTACTAATGTAGTAATAATATACTATATAAAATAATGTATTTTATATAGTACTGAATATTTTTTAATTTAACAGACATATGTATTTTATTTCAAAAGTTATCTTTTCCTAGTTTATAAAGTACTGAAACAACTTTTTCTGAGGTGATAACATTTAAACATGAAGTGAGAACTAAGTCACGAAGTTTTGGCGAACATTAACAGTTAATGTTCACTAAAACTGTTAACAATCAAAACAGTTACTGTTAACAATTCAACGATCATCAAATAGAATCAGATTTTAAATTTAAAGTCTACACAATGTTCTACATTTAATGTTTATTTGACGTGGTTATTTTTTTTTTTTAGTAGATTAACTTATTTATTGCATATAAACTGAACATAATTTTTTCTACTTTTATTATTTTTAAA